AAAAAAAAAAAAAAAGACGACTGAGGAGGTAAGACAGCTAAATGAAATCATGAGCCTGAAACAAACCTCAGAGACTACCAGTGGGACCTTTGGCAAAATTCCAAGACTACATGTAGACTGGTTAATAATGTGCCAATTAATATCAATTTACGGGTCTTGATAACTATACTGTGTGTTATCTAAGGTGTTAACAGCAGACAAAGAGTATATGAAAATTATTTCACTAATTTCGCAATTTTTTTAAAGTCTGAAATTATTTCAACACAAAAAGTGAAAAAAGCTTTAAAAACTATACTGAACAGAACACAGAACAAGAGATCAAGTTCTGGCCCTTGTCGGCTTAAAATGATTTTCATACTTTAGACATTATTTCACCTTCATGTATGCCAGGTTCATTAGGCATAAAATGAGTGGCTTGTACTATATTCATGGGACTCCAAATTGTGCTCTGAGGAATCTCTGGGCAAGACAAGGAGACTGAGCAAGGAAATAGCCCTGGACTCATCATCCTTCAATGAATGCAATTTTGCTTCTAACTGCTTTACCTGTATAATTCCACTTGAAAAGAGTAGTTCAGAATACTTTTTAGGATAAAAAGGGAACCAACTATTGATAATATGATATAACATGGATGAAGCATAAAAACATTATGCTAAGTGAAACAGGCCAGACACAAAAGAGCACATATGATTTTATTTATATGAAGTTCTAAAACAGGCAACTCTAATGTGCATACTGCATAAATTATACCTAAATTTATATATTTTATGTTGTAAGTATCACTATATATTGTATAACAATACAAATCAGATTAGTCATTGGTGCAAGGTAGAGGAGACTGGGAAGGAGCACATGGGAACTTTCTGGGTTGATGGTTACATGGATGTATACATGTGTCAAAATGGAAATGTACACTTTTAATGGGTACATTTTACTGTATTTAAACTCCACTTCAAGAAAGTTGACTTAAAAATTTCATCCCAAATTGCTCGCATTAAAAGGAATTTCTAGTTTCTTTTTTAAAAATATTTTTTATTTGAGAGAGTGCACGCCTGTGTGTGGGGGGGGGAGAGGGAGGGCAGATGGGGAGGGAGAGAAGCTCAAGCAGACTCCCCGCTGAGGGCGGAGCCCAAAGCAAGGCTCGATCTCACGACCCTGAGATCACGACCTGAGCAGAAAGACCTGAGCCGAAATCAAGAGTCGGACGCTTAACTGAGGGCCACCCAGGTGCCCCAGGAATTTCTAGTTTCTGATTCATTAGATAATGTTTTGTAGACCACAAATCTCAGTACTAAGACAGCAAAAGAACCGTGAAAAATGGGAGGAAAATCCTATGACCAAGCTGAGCCAATGCTGGGTTAGATGGTGATAAGTTCAATTACAAATATTTTGTTCCATACCTTATAGAAGAAATACTGTACAAGGTGTGCTATTCTCACATAATATAGATGTCCGTGAGCCAAGAGCAGTTTTTTTAAATGTTTAAACTTCGGAACAGCATAATCGCTATTCCTGGCTGCTTGCCGACCTTCTTTGCCTTTAATACCTGAAAAAGAGAAAAATCTCTCTATTTTATAAAATAAACAACCTCCTGATTTGTTATTTTCACACTTTTAACTTGTTTATGTGGCACAGTTCACTCATGTAGTTTAAATTTTTTTAACCAAAAAGTGCTGTAACAATGACAATGAGTCTTACCAATAAAAAGTAAAACTTAACTGGTAATTACTTATTTATAACACGATATAAAACAAATAGAATCATTGTTTTAATCATTACAAGGCAAAAATTAAGGAAAAAATTAAATCTGAAAATTTATCTGAAAAAAGGCACTTAGTAAGTGCATAAATGTACATGCTCCTAGACAAGGGGCTATATCAAAGCAACTCAGAGACCTGGGGTTTGTGGTCCAGGAGCTCAAAACTGAGAGTTACAAAGAGATGGTGAAGTCCTCTCACTGAATGAAACTCTGAGTAGTAGCCCAAGTGGTTCCATGAGCTCAAGCAGCTTTAGGCCATTTCCACACTGAATAACCAATGAGTACAACTGAGAGTTCCACACTAAATAGGGTTACTTCCAAATGGAAAGAATTTGGGAATCCAGAGTGCAGTAATAATAATTCCCAAGATACCTAGACCATTATTTCTTCCCTTCAAAAAAAAAACAAAAACAAAAACAAACCAAACCTCCTGGGGTGTTAGGATTGCTGCCTATCAGCAGCCTGACATGGGAAAAAAATGGTGCAGGCAGGAGAAAAAGCTGTTGTTGCATGCCAACATATAAATTCGACACTACAGCCCAAAGCACCCATAAATATTGCCACGTGGAAAACCAGCCAACCAATTATCATTTCTTAGTCCCAAACAGTTAAGAATCTCAGAAGATAGAGTGCAGCAACAAAAGCAGGCGATGTGGCCAGGGGCAGAAAATCAATAAAATTTCATGCATGCTGTTAAAGTGAGAGCTAAATGATCAATTGCACCGCCAGTAGGCTTGGGAAATTCACTTTACTTGGCTAATATAAAAATATCCTCTAACTTTGTATTGCTACGTTCCCACCGGGGCAGGACTTTGGGATGGACGTGTTAGATGAGGACCTTCATCAATGATTATCATCCCCAAATTAAAATTCAAGAGGAGTAACTAAGACATTCTCTCTAGAATATAAGACCACGCGACCTAACAAGCGATATGGATACCTTACAGCTGCCATCTCATTAGGTGGTTCTTACCTATTCCCACATGGGATTCCAAGATCATACTAACATCATTGGCACCATCACCTATCGACAGCGTTATTGGGCTGCCTTTTAAATTCTTCACCATTCTGACAATCTAAACATTAAATACAAAAGAGGTACAGAAAAGGTCAAAGCAGAATGTGAGACTACTACATTGCGGGTATATGCCTTGTTCACACTTGTAAATGGAGGCCTTGCAAACAAATAGAAAGGTAGTTTATGCGTATTTCATACAATAGCCTTGAATTCTCAGAGGTAAAAGAATGTAGCATTTTAAATGTAACACCAGTGCCCACTATTTTTTTTTTTTGTTTCCATGCATATACGAAGTGTCAGAAAACCTTGCCTCCTACCTATACTAAGAGGCCAACCTGTTTCCCTCTTTTGTTCTTGCTTCACGTGTCCTTTCAGATGGGGTGTTGAGTGTGACAGTGGAGACCAGAAAGCTGATTTGAGGTACCATGCATTAGGGCTACTGGAATTAAGAGTAGGAAGTGAGAGAACCATGCTTCTAGACCCTCTCCATCTCTCCTCCCAGCAGATACAACCACTCCCTTCGGCGCATTCCCCTATTCCCAGGGACTTCCCCGATGATAAATTCTTACACCCATCTAGCTGCCAACTAAACTTTACTAAATCTCCCAATGCCCAATATGATCTTACCTCTTCTACAGGTAGCTGCGTTTTTAAATGGGGGCATCTTAAAGGTGGTGAGATTTGCAGAAAGTTCTCTTGAGATATGTGTATAAAGCCTGTCACCACTATTCCCTGAGTGTCTCTTCAAGATGTGTCAACGGCACAATGCAGCTCACTGCTGTGTTCATGGCGGGTACCGAATAAAAGAAATCTTCTGGTGGAGTCACTTTGTGCAAGTATATTGGGTAGGCAGCCACCCTCCCACCCCATGTTTTAGATAATGACTGCTTTATGTGTCACCCCTCAAAACCCTCTAGAATCTGGCAGTTTTTAAAAAGTGTATATAATTCAGAAGCTAACTAATGCCTTGCAGAAATTCTGTCCTCTGAATTGCTTTCACCAGTTAACATAAATAAAATCCATTTTCAACATAAGTGATTAAAAATAACTGACCCGAGGCTAAGCCACCCCACAGTCTTTTCTTTAAACAATATTCGGTCAGGTTTTAGTTGTACTAAATAGCGTACAAAAAACCCCACATCCAATTACATTTAACACAAAAATGCTGTTATTGTGAGATGCCGGCTTTCCCCCATTCCCTCCCCTCAACTTGGTTCTTTTAAAAAATTTTTAGAGACTCTCAGAAATAATCTGTAAATCAGTCAAAGACAAACTTAAAGAACCCGCACTAAATTTGTGTTTGACGGGCTACAATTCTGGTTAACCTAATTGCACCTGTGAAACTTGGGCAGCAATGATTTACACCTTAAGGAAGAAAAGGTGCAGCCAGGAAAGTTCTAGGGAAGGTGATAAAATTAGCAAGGGTGACAGCTTCTGCATGAAAATATGGATTAAGAAGATTAAAGGTCGTCCTTGGGGAAAGATAAAAAGATATATAGTCATGGACTATAAAATCATGAAAGATCTAGATAGATAAACATTTTTTTTTTTTTTTACTGTGCCCTGGGTCACCTGGATTAAGAACTTCTCTTCAATCTCTAAAATAGCTTCATGCGAAAGAAATCAATTTGCCAAAAACTACTTATCGACCAAATACAACTGCACACAATACAATGTGCAATGTCATGTGCAAATATCCAAGAAAGACAGGCTGGTCACACACCTTAAGAAACATCTAATGGAATAGGAGAGATAGGGAATGAATACAAGAATATTAGATAATCAGATTAACAATAAACACTAACAGTGTGAGGTATCTGTGCAAGGGAATTTGTAACATTGTCGTCTAAGTTGTCCACATAAAAAGGCCCATGATGGCAGGAAGGGAGAGGATTCTACGTGCCACAGTAATCAGGAATGATTTTATAGAAGGAAGAGTCATTTAATCTAAATCATGAAAGATGGTTAAAGATCTGCGTGGATGGGGAAAAGGGGCTTGGAGGAGTATTCCAGAGGGAATGGCATGATCTAAGGCACATAGCCAGGTTAGGTACAATATATGCTCAGAAGACAGACTGGCTTGACCAGATCAATGAGTTTTCATATAGGGGGCATGGACAGCCATATCTGGGTCCAGATCAATAGGGAGTGATGTTATGAAAGTGGTCACAGGCTGCAGGAGGAATAGGAAGAAAAGGCAAGACCGCAGGCAAAGAGCCAAGTTAGGTGGCTAGTTACAGGTGGAGTTCAATGAGCTGTTAAAGGAATCTGCATCTGCCAGGAAAGAAAAGATGAAAAAGACAACGTACTACGAAATGGACAGAATTTGGTGACTGAAACCACATGGAAGGGTAAAGCATGGGGGGGAGTCACCAGAGATTTCAAGGTTCTGAATCTAGAAACCCAGAAGTACAGTGAGCTCAGTAACTGATGCAGAAGACAAGGAAGATGATGGGCTCTAAAGAAAGCTGAGTTGAGATGGTAATGACAACGCCCAAGAAGACGTGTTCAGTAAGCAGCTAGAGAAGTAAAGTAGAAGCTGAAGTATTTGGATTGGAGAAGTGACTGGAAAATCACCTGCATGGACCTGACGGAGGAGTAGGTGATATCCTGGAAGATGGGACTATAGTGAAGGAAATAAAATGGGCCAAGGACTGAACTACAGGGAGGTTCCATATTCTGGCTAGGAGAAGCTGGGAGAAGCAGTATGGGGTCAGGAATTCAAGTAACTGCCTGGGCAGTGGAGTAGCCAGAATCCTAGTGATCAATTTGAGCAACAGACAATAAATGTGGGGACGGGGCGGGGAGGGGGGGGAAAGAGAGATTGCCTCTGAATAAAGGGACAGATTTCTCTGGCTGTGGTTCTGGTAGGATCCACTTCCTCAACTGGGGTTAACCAAGGCTCTGAAGGTTGAAGAAAAGAAAGAAGAGCACCTGATTGTGGTGGGGATTGAGAGTGAGAAGAAAGTAGACAGAGACAATGCCCTAAGTTAGGATGGGCTGTGTGTGGGCGCATGTGTGTGCGTGCGCATGAAGTAGGGGGTAGAGTTTGTGTAAAGGACAAACCAAGGACACAGCCATTCCTTGGGTCTAGAGCAAGCAGTTGAAGAATATGAAGAAGCAACACTAAGGCATGTGAAAGAATATAGTGTATACAGAAGTGAAAAGGTTTGTTAACTGTACTAAGGGCAAAAAAGCAAGCAAGGTGAAGCAGATCAACTCGAGCTGGAGGAGCTGGAAAAAACAGCCTATGGGAGGTGGCTCTTGAATTGGGTTTAAGTATGAGTAAAAGTTCTGTTAGGCCAAGAGGAATTCAGAGAGAATTCCAGGTGAGGAAAGCTTTGGAGGAAAGGGAGCACCAACCAACAGGAGTGGAGGATTCAGGCTGGACACAGAGTGACAGTGGACACAGAGCACGTAGAGACACGACAAGGGCCAACAGGGATGAGCCTGAATGCCAGAGTGCCAGAATGCCAGAATGCCCGTCATCCTCAGGGACTAGGAAACTATGAAAGTATCTGAGTAAGAATATATAATGGAAGAAGTGGTGTTTTAACAAGATTAATTTGGGAGCATGACAAGAGATTGAAGGGGGATGGGTGAAAGCCAGGAGACTGACGAGGAAGCTAAATCACAGAGTCTGTGTGTGAAGTCATAGCGCTTGGACTGGGATGGAAGTGAAAGGTTTAAAAAGACGGCACCCAAATGAGACCTATGACAAAAGGTAGGATCAACGGGGCACCGTGACTACATAGAGTGCAGAAGAAGAGAAGGGTCAAAGGTCATTTGGTGACTTAGGGAGCAAAAAAAAATGTGGCGCTGGTGACAAGACTAATGAAGACAAGGGAGAAAACAAACTGGTCTGAAGGAGAAAATGACAAGATCTGTCTTGGACACTAGAATTTAATATGACAGCGGGGATTCCACATACAGCTGTCTAGCAGGCAGCTAGAAATACGAGGTTTCACGTAAAGGGAAAGTCAGTACCAGAGACTATCAATGAGAGTCACAGAAATTCGTGTTTAGAGAGACAGGCTATAAGTGAAAAGCAGAAGGAAGACTTAGCCCCAGAGAAAAATGATAATTAGTGAGAAGTGAGAGGATGACACAAAATAAAAAGACACTAGGTTGCCAAGTAGGACAAAAAAAAAAAAAAAAAGGCAAGATTGTGGACTACAGACAGAAACTCAGGGAGGAAAGTTTTAAAGAGGCTATGACTGACTGCGGCAGAGAAACGAGAACAAAAGACAGCGCAATGGATTCGGCAAGGAGGTCACTGCTCTTCTCTAGGCGATCCAACGGATGTGACGCCATGACGAGAAGACAGAACACACGGGGCTAATGTCACAGGGGAGCAAGGAGCAGTGCGATGGATGCAGCACGCACCAAGCACTCATTAGAGAAGCTTGGAAGGCAAGGAACTGGACAGCCAGCTTGAGGGGACAAGAAGCATGGGGTCATTCACATGGGTGGGCAGAACTCTGAATTTGACTGCGAAGAAGCAGCAGCGTGGGAAGATGTAATAAGGTAAAAAGGGCTCTTTGAAGAAACAAAAGTGAAGTGAACATCTGCACATATGTGTATAGAAATCCCCGGAACGGAACATTAACTAATATCCAGTTACCTGGGCTTTCTGTAAAGGTGCCATCCGACAGCAGAGCACTGCGGTGCACTTCATACATATCTGCAAGAAAATGCTTTTGTAATTGTTAGAACTGGAGTCTTGACTAGAATTTAGTATGAGTGACAATGTGGAGCCATCGATGATTAATCCATATTCTTGATGTTCTGTCCATGCTCTGGAAAAGAAAAACAACGCTATAACTGAATCTCCTATATCTTTCTGTTTTGAAAACTAATTGTTTTTAAAACCACAAAGAGGAGGGTCCCGCGTAAGAGTCATCATCAATCTGGTTCCCGAACCTATAAACTGCAGAGAAGCAACTGTCTCTAATGATGGCACAACAGAGATTTTTCCATGACATCTTTGAGACTCGAGCTGCCCATATAGATTCTAAATTCTAAAAGGTATTTAAAAATAATGGGCATTTAGCAGCTGGTCTCTGTGAAAGAAACTCAAGGGGAATTGTGGAAATTACAGTCAGTCAGTCAAACTCTGATATGAAGACAAATAATCAATCTCAAAACTTCTTAATAATAGAGGAAGAAGGCAAAATGGCTTTGGGCATACAAATCACAGAAGCCCTTTTCCTGAATGACAAAGCCTGTCAATAGACCTGGCTTCTCAAAAATGATGGAGAGCCTAAAAGACACAGTGTTCATTAAAAACTACCATACAATAATGATGTATGTTCCTTAAATCAGTATCATTTTATACTGGATTAGTGGTTCTCAACCATAGCCTTCCCATTAGAATCATCTGGGCAGCTTTAAAAAATTGCCCACGCCTGAGGTCTATTCCCAGACAAATTAAATCAGAGTATCTTGGGCAGTGCTTGGTTATTTATAGGTTTATGTTTCAGAAAGCTCTGTAGGTGATTCTCATGCATAGCCAGGACGACTAAGAGATATTACGTTCCAAGAGAGACAAATATAACAGGTACAAGTACTTAAGAAAAACACATGGGAGGGGCTCCTGGGTGGCACAGTTGGTCAAGCGACTGACTCTTGGTTTCGGCTCAGGTCATGATCTCAGGGTCGGGAGATGAAACCCCATGTTGGGCTCCGCTCTCCCTCTCCAACCCCACCCCCACCCCCAGCATGCACGCCCTCTCTCTGTCTCTAGAATAAATAAATAAATCTTTTAAAAAAACATACGGGGGAAAACTTACAACTGAGAAAATTCTACCAATTAACATTTCATTTTTTTGTAATTAAGAAAAAAACAGTGATTAATCAATTTTTGTTCAGGGAATCTTGGGTGCCATTTGAACATGATCTCATCATTATCGATTCATTTGTCTAATTTTAGGCTTCCTGAAGCTTAATGTTGAAGGGAGTCTTGTTAAAATTCCCAAGAATTTTGTTCAAGTGTAGATTCTGACTCACTAGGTTTTCGGTGGGACAGGAGATTATGCATTTCTGACAAGCTTCTAGTGATAATGGAGCTGCTACTCTATGGCCCAAACGTTTGAGTCCTGAGAGCCTAATATGCTTCCTCATTCCTTTATTCCATATTCCCTTGGTGTATACTGACACTATGGTATTTTGTACTTGTCCATATTCTGCTTCATAATTTTAGAGGCATGTTTTATTCACTAATTAAAGAGATATCAATCATGTGTTCTCCTTTGCTCCTCTACTCACAGAGCTGACTTAATGTGCAGAGAACAGTGGCTCAATAACAAATCAAGCAATATTTATAAGCATCAACTCTTAAGTAGGACATAAAAGAAGAATGGGAAGAATCATTAACTCATCTTCCCTGGGAGAACAGAGAAACCTCCTTGAGGTGACAGAAATATACATGAGAGAATATACGCAAACAAACGAGATACTAAATGGCTAATATCCAGAGGTTGGGACAATAAACACACCCAGGAAAGACCAGTGGAACTGAAAGACAGGGCAGAATGAGGCGAGGGGAGAGTAGTATGCGGAGGTGTGCTAGGAAAGCAAGGTGCAATGGTCACTTGAGGCCTTTGCTGCGACCTCATTCTGTGTGTAATGGAAACCGCTTCCCTGGCAGAAGGACTTAAGGGATTCAAGGCATGAGTTGCTAGGAATTTGAAGTGCAGCACTAGTGGGGAGAATAGAAACCTGAATAAGGCTCGGTGGCTGACATGAAGCAGAAGCTGACAAAAGGGATTCTGGGTCTGATGCTTACTTATAGAACTTGAGGGAAGTCTGGGCCCAACTCCAAACAGATGAACCACAAGAGGGAATGTTCTGAGATGGTGAGTTCAGTTTTTCAGAAGCCCTGGCCTTTACAAAAGTACCCCAGAGCCGCTGAATGGTGCTGTGGACTGAACTGTGTCCCATGCCCTCCCCCCTTCCCAAATCCTATGTTGAAGCTCTAACCCCCGATGTGATGGTATCTGGAGATGGGGCCTTTGGGAGATGACTAGGTCTAAGTGAAGTCATGAGGGTGGAGCCCTTATGATGAGATTGTGCCCTTATAAGAAGAGACACCAGAACAGCATCTCTCTGAGCCATGGAAAGACGCAGTGAGAAGGTAGCTTTCTATAAGCCAGGAAGAGGGACCTCACCGGAACTCGACCCCAGAAATATGAGAAATAAGTTTCTACTGTTTCAGCTGCCCAGTCTATGGTTATTTTGTTATGTTAGTCGGAACAGATTAAGATAAATAGGCAAGTAAAAATCCCGAGAGAACACAGTTGTTAAAAGCATGGGCTCTGGAAATGGACAGACTTGTTCTACCCCTTATTAGCTATGTGATCTTGAATTCAAGTTACTGCATCTCTCTGAGCCTTACTCTATCTGTAAAGTGAAGAAAATAAGAGAGCCTTACTAGGTTGTGATGAAGACTTAGTGAGAATAATTACATGAAGTGCTAAATATGGTTCCCGAAACAAAGTGTATGCTCAAGAAATGCAAGCTAATATCATCCAGGAGGTCTTTGGATTTAGTGCGGGCCTATCCTGTGGCATTCCAGAAGAGGCAGTCGATTTGCTGATGGCCATAGTAAATTCCAGCAACTGGTTTAGACAAGGCTAAGCCTTGGTCAATGATTTCTGGGCACGGAATTATTATGCATCAGTGGCTTTCCTTGAGACGCTTAAGTTCTATAAGTTGTTCCTAAGCAACTAGTTGGAAGCAGAGTCGAAATGGCCATGTTATTAACAAGTATTTGGTTCCCTTCGGAGTTCTGGGCCATGAAAATCCAAAGAGAAAATGGCTCTAGGACCTCAAATTACAGGCAAAGTGTTATAGAGATCAATTTCTTTACATTCAATTTAAGAGATCACAAAAAAAGGAGCATTTTTTTTTTTTCTTGACATGGACCAGGCCAGAGCTTCAGTGCTAAATACCCACACCCTAAACATGAAGAAATTGAACTACTTTTCTAAACCTGGAGAAATACAGGATTTTCTTTTAAATTAAAAGAGAGGTGGAAAGTGCCAAATAACCTCAAATGAGCCATTGGCCAAGTCCTCAGGGAAGGTTTTAACTTATAAGGATAAAACACCTGCAGACAACGATAAATCATAGAAAACAGAGCCTTCTGCATAAATAGCTGTGATTTACATTTATACTCATGCCTAAGTATAAGAAACTGATGCACTTTCTTACTTTTTAAGGCTTCTACTACTTCTAGGAAAATCATGCAGCAACTTCTTACGATATTCTATCAACAATTCATGTAATCGATCTTCTTTCCTTTCACTTTCTTCGATGGTTTTTGTAGTCAGTTCCAAGAGCTCAGTGCTGGTTTGGAAGAGGCGGCACGCATAGCAGGTGGATTTGGCTGTCTCCATCTTGTCCCCAGTAAGCACCCAGACTTTCAGACCTGCTGCATGCAGAGCTTCAATGGTCTCAGCTGCTTGATCTTGCAGCCTGGGAACACAAAGGAAACCTTGTTATCCTCAAAAATTCCTGACAGAGATTCTGTAAGAAGGCTTGCAAAACAGAGTATTTTTACAATTCACAGCAATGCTGGAGTCCTGACATGTTATCAGTTGGTTTTCTTATATACCCTCTACTCCTTCTGGGACTGTTATCTCTGGCATGGTTTTACTTACTAAAATGAATTGCAAGCAGTGAGGTTTGGAAAAGCCAACGACATCTCTTTAGGTAAATGGTATCCAATGGCATAATGGAGAATCATCCCTCTTAGTTAAAATGTTCATAAACTCACCAAACATGCACTGTCACTTTACTGTATTTCATTAAATTTTATATCTCACCATACAAATACTTAACATGGTTCAAAACGGAAAGGGCCAAACACATTCCAGTGAGATATCGAGGGAAATTAGTGAATCCCCATTGCTGAGGAGCTTTGAGAGTAGGAAAGCCAACCATCCCGAGTGAGAATTTAAGCATAAATCCGAAAGGCAGAGAAGAATACTTTCTTTGAGTTCCCTTTGGTCAGAGAGTAAGAAAGAAATAGACTAAATGAATCCCATTGAAATTTCAAAACCTTCCGATGTGACTGAATATATATATGTATGTATGTTTGTAACTTTTTTTTGGTTAAGTCTCAAAATTTGCATTTGTAATTTCTTAAAAACTCCTAAAATATTAAGAGTGTAAAACCTATTCTTTCAGGCAGATCAATGCTGAAGCCCTACAATCCTGTCTAGTAGAGCTCAGCCTGGAGAGTTAAAGCAAATTATTTGACAGTATGCAAAAACATGCTCTAGCCTGTTGAACCAGGTTAGAATGAGCTCTCATGTTGTCTGCTCTAACCCGAATTTCCTTTCTGCTCATTTCTGTCTGTCAAAATCTTACCACTTCACTTCTATCAGGCACCAGTGCAAACGATGTCTAGCACAAAGCTCTCAATACATCACAAGACTATTTCATAAATATCTGCATAAATAAATGGATGGCTTTGTAAACATTCAAAATATCTTAGCGATGACAGATTTGTTCTTCTAAGCCACAAATATTTAAAACAAAATCATTCCCACGAACAGTTCAAAGTCTGGTCTATCAACAGATCTGAATAGAAGATTTCAAAATTTGAGAATAAATTACCAATCTGAACAGATACCACCCTAAATGCCTGGTCATTAAAATGACAAGAATATCATTTTGTAATTACTTGTCTTCCACTGCAGTGGCTCCAATTAAATTCATGTTTGTCTCAATATCATCAAAAACCTTTTCCATTTTTTCTTCTCTGTCTTGTAAGGCCATTTTTGCCTCGATGAGCTGTCTGTTAATTCTTTCATAATCATCTGGAGCAATTTCTTTGAAGGCTACACAAAGTGTCCGATACCCGTCCTAGGAAAAAAGTAGGAGATCTCTAGTTATCCAAATAATTGAAAAAAAAAAAAAATCCCACATCGTTTCACTGCACAAAAGAAATTCTGATATGTTAGTTAGAAAAAAAAACACTAACAGACTGCAACTAAAAGGGTAACATTCAATTAGGTTCGGAATAGCAAAATAATAATAGCTCTTAGAGAAAAAAAAAAAGCAGAACATAAACCAAAGATTCTTGCAAAGTCTTCAAATCTACCAATTCTGAACAGAAACTTGCTCCAGGATACTGTTTTACATTAAAATAAGGAAAATAATATTACTAAATCCCCAAATATAAAAATAGACAATAAAAAATAAGCTAAAATTCATTCAAACATTTAAATAGCGATCCCATCAAATAGTCATCTTTAGCATTTCTAGAGAGATGTAGGCTCACCATTGCATTACGTTCCACATGGGCTTTAGTTAACTCAATTTCATGATTTTGCACCCTGGGGAAGACTGCTGAGTCTGCTCCTTTACAAAAGAGAAGTATGTCTCCTAAAATAAATAAAAAACCAAGTTCTCAACCTAGAATTTTAAGACCGGTATTGGGATTTTAATAACAGGTAACCATTAAGGTGGCCTCTCCCACTCAGCTACTGTGGATCCTGAGCCTGCCTGGCAATGCTCCCCCAAATGGAATGAGACATCTTGACCTTTCCTCTCATAGGACAATGCCCACTACCTCTTAAGACCAAGATGGACACAAATAACTCAGGAGTGTACAACAAGTACCTCTGTTAAGATGTACTTCCTTTAAAAAAAAAAAAAAAGACATACTTCCTTTCAGGGATCATGGGAGACTGTCCTTATGTCAAAGAGCTCCTTCTGAATTCTCTTTGAAAACGTTGTCAAGCATGTTCTAAAGTGCATACATGGCATCTACTGATGTCAAGGACCAAACCCACATGCAAATAAAACCATTTTGAATGAACTACAGAGGTTACTTTAAAAAACAGTGGCTTGGTAGTTTGTACTGGAAACTTGAAAATAGCACTGTAGAATGCTAGTCTAAGTATGGCCTTATATCAGTCCGTGCATCCGGCAAAGTAGTCACCGTTGAGCATTAAGAAAGACACTTCACCCTTATAAAGCAAAATGCTGAGTTCAAGAAGTTAAAAAGAAGTGTAGCTCTGAGGTCAAGGCCCTCAGCAGACCACTTCCCCAGATGTCACACCATTTGAGTAGAACACCAAGTATTTCAGATGTTAAGTGGTTTTCTTTTTTAATTTTCTCTCACACATCCAGTGTTTAAAAGTCACAAAACAAATTCGGCCTTCACATAATGAAATCAATTTCATGACCTGGCAGTCACATCACAAAGTATGAATAAAGTGGGAAATGTTCCCTCAAGGGTCTGTCTGTATCTTCCCATTCTCACACTAAGGAATTTGGGATAGATTTAATAAAAGGTAAATTACTAGGATATAAACCAAGGAAAATTTGAAAAACCACCTAGAGACAGTCACAGTCTCTCTCTCTCTCTTACACACACACACACACACACACAGAGGCGTATCTGGGAGCCTGCATATAAGGCAGGAGTGCTCCCCCATGGCTCTTGCTCAATCCGAGCAGAAGGTATCTCAGCTACCATGGCTCCTCCGAAGGACATGGGGGAACCCTGGGATGATGGTACTGCTTCTGAAGCAAAGGGCAAGCTTCCTTACTCTGTCAAACAAAGAGCCCAGCATGCTAGAGTAAAGCCACCATACCCTTTCCCAGAAGTCTGGCCCTTAGTCTGCCTGCTACCTGGAAGTAAAAAGCAGCGGAGAATTAGGAAGGTCAGGCAGGGAGAGCCAGTGACTCTCTACACTCAAGAATTCTACTGCTAGTTAATCTCAAACCACCCAACTGTACTGGGCTGCCACATGTAGACATTACTGGTGATTGGCCAGTACCATGAACTATAAAAAAGTCACCCTTTCAGTTTCTGTTTGGACACTCAGGACTGAAGAGTTCAGTTTCCAAGAAAATGCATATACTATCCACTGACAATTTGGCAAACCGAACATACGTGCTTATATAAATACCTTAAGGCATACACAGAAGTTACTGCTTTGCATGACTTTAGGTAGTCATCTATTACTACATGAGATATTTTCCTTTCTTAAAATAACTGATCAACATACAAATCTACAAATGGAAAAAGAAGAGAAAGAGAAGAGAAGAAAAAGAGAAAAAGTCAAGTTTTTAAAAAGTATACCTGCGGGCACCTGGGTGGCTCAGTTGGTTAAGCGACTGCCTTCGGCTCAGGTCATGATCCTGGAGTCCCGGGATTGAGTCCCGCATCGGGCTCCCTGCTCGGCAGGGAGTCTGCTTCTCCCTCTGACCCTCCCCCCTCTTGTGTGCTCTCTCTCATTCTCCCTCTCGCAAATAAATAAATAAAATATTTTTAAAAAAAATTATAAAAAGTATACCTGCTTGAGTCTTCACAATGACACTCATACGACGACGGACAGAATCAAAGTTTAAGGTGTGAAGAAGTTCATACCTTTATGAGGAGAAAAATGAGAAAAAGAAAATACCTAGACCACACTGGGAAAAACAAACCGCCACAGAAACATCCTGAATAGAATTCTCCCCTTTTGGGGGCGCCTGGGTGGCTCAGTTGGTTGAGCGACTGCTTTCGGCTCAGGTCATGATCCTGGAGTCCCTGGATCGAGTCCCGCATCGGGCTCCCTGCTCGGCAGGGAGCCTGCTTCTCCCTCTGACCCTCCCCCCTCTCATGTGCTCTCTCTCTCTCATTCTCTCTGTCTCAAATAAATAAATAAAATCTTTAAAAAAAAAGAATTCTCCCCTTTTGGTAAGGGTTGCTGGCTGAGTGCACGACTGGCACTTTCCGTTGGGACTCTGAAATTTTTCTGCACTTAGAATGTGGTGTCAGAGGATGCCAGTGTTGCTTAAGGGCTATCTATATCCTCGCATTAGATTACTGCAAATGGGAAGGGGAGAGTGACTACATAGACAAAGAGCTGCCCAGCCATGCCATTTCTGGAGGGGTCTAGAAATAGTCCCACCCTGCCAATTATTTTAATCATCGATGGGGTGCTTACTATGTGTTGAGCACAATGCTAGGTACTGGAAAATAGACATGAATCTGCCTGAGTTTCTTCCCTCAAGAGGCTCATCGTGTGATTAAGGGAAGTGGAGGGTAATGAGATGACTAACTCTCAAATCTGCCATACACTGTAATAAAGGAACTCACTGGGCAGATATGAAAGCACAGAAGGAAGATATCTGAAGGAAGGCTTCCTGGAAGAGGTAGTGTCTGGGGCTGTGTTCTGCAGGAATGACATGATGAATATAAAGGGTGTCATGGCATTGTGAGTAGAGAAAAAGGCATGTGCAAAAATAATTCACTAGGGGCGCCTGGGTGGCTCAGTTGTTAAGCGTCTGCCTTCGGCTCAGGTCATGGCCCCAGGGTCCTGGGATCGAGCCCCCCATCAAGCTCCCTGCTCTGCGGGAAGCCTGCTTCTCCCTCTCTCACTCCCCCTGCTTGCGTTCCCTCTCTCGCTGTGTCTCTCTCTGTCAAATAAATAAATAAAATCTTTAAAAAAAATAGTTCACTAAAGCTTGAAATCTAGTCGATAGCAGCACAGCAAGAGGGGTAAACAAGGGCTGGGAGCTGAGAACATTGTAGTCCATTTCAGAGATCTGGAATTTTATCCTAAGAGCAACAGGAATTTACTGAAGGGTTGAAACAGTGGAATGATATGATCAGATTTGTACTAAGCTAATAAATCAGATGAAAGAATGCAGAAGAGTAAAAATAAGAGTTAATTATTACAAAAACATGGGGAAATATTTTCTGAAAATGAGCAACTTGGACGCACATATTTGACCTAAGAATATTTACTATGAAGCCTGTTTGTGATGGGAGTGAGCAGGTCACCACTTCTGGGATGTGTGTATGAGTAAGAGATCTACGTGTAGCAGGTCACCAGTTCTGGGTTTTGTGTATGAGTAAGAGATCTACATGTAGCATATCATTTGGTGTTGACCAGATGGGGGCACTGTTGTGAACCGGCTAGAATCTGGACTCTAATAATGATCCGGGCTCCTAGCAGGCCAAAGAGCCTTCGCCTGGCTTTTAAGCATCACTTCCCAAAGGGGTACATTCCCCAAACACATCTACACATATTACAGGTTTCTGAGATGGGTCTCATGAGATGGTAGGGGCCAGAGTAGAAGTCAGATAATTACATTTCAAGTTCAGATGAAGGAATTCAAATTAATCACAGAACCTAATTAAAACCTGCTATTAAGCCAAGGTGGTTTTGTTCATTGGGATCTCTGTAGAAAAAAAAAAACCCAAAAAACCCCAAAACACTGCTGCATCAGGGTACTTGCCCTGGGGCTCACACTTGAGCACAGAGAACAAGACAAAGCTTCTGACACCAAAGCTGCCATGACTGGCTGAGCTTGCAATCCCAGAGTGACTGGCTGGGTTCTAGACAGCAGAAGGTTTCATGCAAGTTCATGGATTTTTCTTGCAATGTGTGCTGGAGACCTAAAATTGGCATCCATGTTTCAGAAAGAAAGTCCAGGCAGATTCTCACTGGGGCTATTGGACCCATATGTGAACCAAATAGGAATAATGTCCATGTCAAGTCCCAGTTTCTACCCCTCTATGAAAAATATCTTCTACTCCAACTATATTTACATAAAACTCCAAGTGGGAAAGCACAGTCTTACACATTTATGGATGTAATAAGTTTCCTTTGTTGCCCTTCCTAAATCCACCCAAGGTTAACTGTGGGGTTAAGACGTGATAAACATCAAACACACAGTGCTACTTACTCTTCTATTTCTTTTCTTTGGTTCTCTACTCTCATATGGCCATTCCGAATTCCTACAAATGTGAACCCATACCTGTCAAAAGCAACAAAAACACCTCTGTGTATCTCTAAAGAATGATTAATTTTCCCTTGCACTGGGGTTACTCATACTTGTTTATTGTTTTCTTCTCTTTTGTGTGGAAAAAAAAAATCAGTCTATAACTATACTTCCCTTTACTGGCTGAGATGACAGGAAAGAGGAAGTCAAAGCCCAGTCACGACTTGTAATCAAGAGGCAATTTGTAATTCCAATTCTATAGCAAACACATTGGGTGACCTTTTAACCACTTAATCATCTCAGGCCTCAAGGGTAAAACAGGACTGTCAGTTACAAAGTGATGTCAAGGGGTGTCTGGGTGGCTCAGTCGTTAAGCGGGTGCCTTCAGCTCAGGTCGTGATCCCAGGGTCCTGGGATCGAGCCCCACATCAGGCTCCCTGCTCGGCGGGAAGCCTGCTTCTCCCTCTCCCACTCCCCTTGCTTGTGTTCCCTCTCGCTGTCTGTCAAAATAAATAAATAAAATCTCAAAAAAAAAAAAAGTGACGCCAAAATTGCTAACAGCACTTCAGAAATAACATATGTTGTACAAAAATTGGCCATTGTTATAGAATTTGCAGAATATGAACATTTGGACTTCTGGTTGGTATGCATAAATACTAATGCAAGTTACATCTATGCATTGCTATTTTCTTATTGGTCTTAATTGGCTAGGTTTGGGGAATTTTTCACAAACTTTCAAATAAAGCAGTTCGGCTTTTTATTAAAGAATATTTATAAGACAAGGTTATTGAAGCAAACAGAGAAAAAACAACTCCAGTCCTCCTGTGATTTCACTTTCTCAGGAGAAGTACAAGAAGTGCTTACTTTTTTTTTTTTACCCTTCAAAAATGCTAATGTATTTCTCTACAACTCATCTCAGGGTTTTTAAAACAGCCTTACTAAGGTATGACTGATACACAAAGAACTATACATATTTAATGTGTCCAATTTGAGAAGTTTGGACACGTTCAAACACCCGTGAGATCATTACCACAAACAAGGTAAGAGACCTATCCAACACCTCTCAAAGCTTCCTTGTGTCCCACTGGTGTTCTGTTGCTTGTGGTAAAGAACACTTAACATGAGATCTACCCTCTTAACAAATTTTGAAGTGCAAAACACTGTGTTGTTAACTATGGGTACAATGCTGTACAGCAGATCTCTAGAATTTATTATTCATCCAGCATAACAGAAGTGCTTACTTTTTAGCTCCTTTCACCAAAGCTATTTCATCTGGTGAAGAGGACATGTAAGTTAATTCAGCTGATTCTGTAGGTCCATCAACAGCATCATTTGTTTTAATTTCTACAGTATGACATAAACACAAGGCACGCAGAAAGAGCTCTTCTCGGTTCTGTTGAACAGTAACAGAAAAATGACTCTATTATATTTTCCCCTTGATCACCTGGTAGTCAGTGAACAGAGAAAGGGTATTAATGCGAGAAAATGTTGTAACCTCCAGCAAACTGAGTAGCAGAAATTTCTAAATCCCTAATACTCAAATGAGCTATATATCCTCCCTTGTACCTAACAGCATCCCTGGTTCTCAGCTAAAATACCCTAGAGGCTGTGTTAACTCATTCAGGCTACTGTGGTGCCACCTAATACTAAATCAGTGAATTCTTTATGGCCTAAAAGAGTTCATTCAGTATCCAATTCACAATCTGGCAATAGCTCAGGTGCAGGGAGACTTGGGCCCATTTAATGTCTAGATGCTCCTGGGACTTGAATGATTTGAAAAGACTTCATTCTTGAAGCAGCTCATATTTTTAAAGACAAAGCATAAAGAATTATGATCATACAGCCAGGAAAGTGAAATTTTTGCCCAAAAGCCATTTTCCACAATCCTATTTATAAATTCTACTTGTTAACAATTTCCAGAGGTGTTAGTGAAATGAGAAAGTTGAAGTCAAAAGAGCAAATGGTTATTCCAAAGTTGGTGTCATGTACTCAGTCTTCATTTCTACTACACAAAGTTAACACATGCACACATACATTGATTTCTCAAGGTAAAATGGTAATTCAGAAAATGCCACCTTATCTGCTTTGTCAAAATACGTTAAGGGTCCATCAGTTTGAGAGAGTCCATCAGTCTCCTGAGCTGCACCTTTATACTTGTGCCCATCGATGCAGCACTCAATGAATTCCATGCTATTTTCAGTGAGTGTTCCAGTCTTGTCTGTAAATATATAATCCACCTAAAAACAAGGACACAAACAGATGCAGTTTTACCTTCTTTAGTGTGATTAATGTTTTGTTAAGCTGTAAGGCAGGGCTCTTTTCATATCCATAGCAAATCACTGTTTCTAAGACTTCTTGTCAAATGTCAGGTAATTACAAAAGCAATATTATGAAACGAGTGGGAAATGAATAAGAATATTTTTTTAAATTAAAAAAAAAGTTTTTATTTTAAGTAAACTCCATACCACATGTGGGGTTCAAACTCACAATCCCAAATTCAAGAGTTGCATGCTCCACTGACTGAGCTAGCCAGACGCCCCTGAATAAGTATTTCTTTTTTAAAGATTTATTTGACAGAGAGGGGGAGGGAGGGAGGGAGAGAGAGCGAGCGAGCGAGCACAAGCAGGGGGAGCGGCAGGCAGAGGGAGAAGCAGGTTCCTCACTGAGCAGGAAGCCTGATGCAGGACCCAATCCCAGGATCCTGGGATCATAACCTGAGCCAAAGGTGGCCGCTTAACTGACTGAGTCACCTAGGTGCCCCAAGAACAAGTATTTTTAAAGGCAGTGAAATAGTATCACATGTCCAAGGTAGACGCACTCAAATACAGAAGATAAATCGTAAAGATAAATGTGGCTATTTTATCAAACTAAGAAACTTACAGTTTATTACTTATCTATTTTGATGTAAAGAAGTTCTAAAATAAAAGTCAATTTTCCAAGTGGGAAATAAGAATATACTGACCACTTATTACACACACACACACACACACACACACACACACACACAGAAAAAATATTTGTTTGACAGGAACTAAAATTAACTAGGATGTAACAAAACTTTTCCTTGAAAAGTAAAATTTTCCATGAATATACTGGGTTGAAGTAAAATGCACTGTGTTATATACTGCAGATAGAATCACAGAGTATGGATGGTCAGGGAAAATAATAGTATCAACAGTTACTTAATTAGGAGACACAGTAAGTCTTTAATGTTCAAAAACATAACTGAAGTTTCTTTCCACATACTGTGTATATTTTTAGATACTCCTGAAAAAAGTTTCCAAGTTAAAAAAAAAACGGGGTTTATAATAATAGGTTAAAGTATAATGTAAGCAAAAAAAGTATAATACAAGCATTCTTTCATAAATAATGGAAAAAGTAACCATGCAAAATAAACCATTTTGAGCATTTCCATTTTATCTCAGTTTTTATCTCTTCTATTTATAACATCTGGCTTTTGGAAACCCACAATTTTATCTTCCTTTTTGGCAATTTACGCTTAAATAGTTAAAATTATGGGCTGACAGGAACAAGCATAAGCACAAGATGAAGGTTTTCATTATGTAAGGGAGAAAGAGATGAACTCCAGCAGTAGTTGCTTTCTAATTATTTTTCAAAGCTTTTCACGGTAGCAAGCACTGACACAAATATAGCATTTCAATCTTCCTTTTTTTGCTCTGTTAGCCAGCCAAGTTTGAATTCTCTCTTTAAATTAATCCAAGTGGTATTATTCCTGTATCATCTAGATTTTTCCAGTTCAAACAAAACTCTCTGGGACTTTTTTTCTGATCAAAATTAATTTACCGTCCTTTTCCCCTGAAGGTTCTCCTGGGTTACTGCACCTCCTACACTTGGATGAGCATTAACCCATTTAGAAATCTTTTATAAGTGTTAAAGGTGATAGTTTAAAAAATATATCGTGCAATTGTTTCCCTACATATAATGTTTTGTGCAGTATGGATCTGCATACAATTACTCTCACAGGTATAGGCCAACAAATTATACCCTAACACAGTAATTACCAAATCATAGCGTGCATCACACTCACTTGGAGGGCTTGTTAAAACTCAGATCGCTGGCCTCTATTCCCCAGTTTCTGATTCAGCAGCTCTGTGGCAGGGCTAGGTAATAGGCATTTCTAATTAAGTTCCTAAGTGATGCTGATGCTGCTGGTCCAAGGATTGTACTGTGAGAACTACTGCTCTAATATGTGCCCTATACTCGGCAAAGGGGGAGGAGAGGATCAGCTGTTACTAAAAAGTATTCTCATATTTAGACGAGAAAGAGGACTAATAAGAGCGAGAGGCTGCTGCTTGACCGACTCTCAATAGCCTCTTCCTCTCTAGTGGTGGGTTTGAGCCTGCTGGAAAGGCACTTCTCTATCAGCAAGCTCAAACTCATCATCTTATGGATGTAAAGCCTAAAGTGAGACAGCTGTTCTAGGGTGGAAAGAGCCCTGAACTAAAGGTTCATGAAGGCATGGAAATGCCTATTTTGGTCAAAAGTTTTCATATCGTTCAACCTAATGGAACATTTGGACTGGTGTCTTGGCTTCACCACCTATTAACTTTGTGACCTTGGAAAATTCTCATCTCTGTAAACTTTAAATATTAACCTTAAATAACCAAGCCTGCTGCACAAGGCTGTAAAGAATGGAAAATAAAGTATAATAATAAATGTTTATAAATTATAAGGTATCATATAGATGCAGATAGTCATTGCTGTTGACTTGACCAAAATCACACAGTACTGGACTCTTTCCACCATCTCACATGCCCTATTTTTCTAACCAATTATGATCACATTGCTATAGTTAGGTACAATATTTGTGTTTCCCTAACTGAATGGTGAACAACTTGAGGGTTTCTTGTTTACTTTGTAATAGTAACCTCAGTACCACCAACATATTCTTGCTATATAGTGTAAGTTCAATACATTAATGGTGGGATTGGATTATTGGAATCAGAGTATATACCCAGACACACCATGAGGCATAGCTGTAAGACTTGAAGGGGATATAAAGCAGGAGGCTGGGGTGCCTGGGTGGCTCAGTTGGTTAACCGTCTGTCTTTGGCTCAGGTCATGATCCCAGGGTCCTGGGATTGAGCCCCGCATCGGGCTCTGTGCTCCGCGGGGAGCCTGCTTCTCCCTCTCCCACTCCCCCTGCTTGTGTTCCCTCTCTCGCTGTCTCTCTGTCAAATAAATAAATAAAATCTTAAAAAAAA